ACACATGCAAAGTATGATTACGTTCTAATTCACTTCGTTCAAACGAACGTAAAATAATTATCTTCTATATTTCGAATATAAGTAAGAACAGTGTTAGTACCTCTTCTGGTGAATTTTCCACTACTCTTCCTCCTTGTTACAACTCTGCTTGTCTTAGTGTCATCCCTGTCGTCGTTTTCCGATTCTCACATGATGAAAGTATACTCGATGTATCGTGTAGCTGGTCCACAGGAGTAAGTGGAGTGCGTCAACGACGCTTTCGCATAAATTCACATAAATACTCTCGAAGTCCCCAGGGGAAGGACGTAATTAGCGTTCTATAAACAATTCTACATACCGAAGTAAAATACATTTCAGTATCATAGCCGCATCAATCTTATAAGCTAGCACACAGCATGCATCCGCAATATCTCGAAGTCGCTTATAACTCAGTAGGTTATTAAATCAATTTTTGCAATCATGATGAATATCTTAACTGTAKTCTCTGCTTTTTTGTAGATATCAATGAGTGTGCAACCAACGGAGGTGGTTGTAATCAAATTTGCGATAATAGACCTGGTAGTTATAAGTGCAAGTGTTGGACTGGATACAAAATGTCTTCTGATAACCATACGTGTGTTGGTATGTAGATGTAATATTTTATCGGCTTTATAAGCTAAAAAACATATGGTGATGGTGTGGCAATGATGGGCTACCGTGATTGGGCTAAACCCTAAATAACAGAAGAGCTTTGCTTCTTTTGGTGCTCGAAACTGCATCCATACAATATTTTAAATGGCAAAAGTTTGATTCGACAACACACAATCTTCATTTTTTTGTGTGTTAATGTCACTCAAATTAAAATTATTATTAATGATATGAATATGAAAACCGCATAGCACTATGATAAACATGATATAGAAATGAAAGAAAGTTATAGTGCTTAGAAGGAGGCAATTCCGGTTCGAATCCCAGCGAGGTCGGAAATTAATTTTTCCGAATTTATTCCTAAGGGACTTCTCCCGGAATTGCCTCCTTCTAAGCACTATAACTTTCTTTCATTTCTATATCGTGTTTTCATAGTGCCATGCGGTCTTCATATTCATATCTTTACATTATTCTATTACCGCAACCTTAACATCTATTTCACCCCGACCTGCTCCCAGTCTGGCCTTGTAGCTCAGCTGGTAGAGCATCGGTGTACAATCCGAAGGTCGTGGGTTCGAATCCCAGCGAGGTCGGAAATTAATTTTTCCGAATTTAGGGACTTCTCCCGGAATTGCCTCCTTCTAAGCACTATAACTTTCTTTCATTTCTATAAAATTATTATTGTTGTTTAGATATTGACGAGTGTAAAGTCAACAATGGTGGATGCAGTCATACTTGTATCAATTTTGCTGGAGGACATAAG